TCTTTTACTGCAATATATATATATATATATATATATATATATTGCGTTATGAATACAATTTCACCGGATGATTTGAATAGCTCTATTGTAAAGAATCGATTGAGAGGATTTTGTAGGTCAGCATAAAATATAATTAAAATTTTTTAAAGCATAGTTAAACAAAGATACAAATGAAATAAACAATGATTTGTATTTTTTGAGAAGTCTAACAGTTTCCAAAAACATTACCTGACAAAAGTCTTGTCGCCTTTCCAAGTTTTAGGAACAACAAAAAATGACTTGACTTCTAGTTGATAATTTAGTATCAGAAGTGGCTTATATGAAAGGCAAATACCTCTAGATTACGCTTATTTTACCTAAATAAAATATGATCATGCCTTGATTATTAATTATTTAACTACGACAGTAAGGTCTGACTTTGCTTAGACAAAAGTCTTGTCCACTTAGCATAAATAATGAACAGTATATGACAGTCATGGTGCAATGGAAAAAGAATGAACTCTCATTTTACTATTACTTAACTAATACTCCTATGAGCTTGGAGGACTGCATCCATACATCTCTGCAATGACTCGGATAACTTATTAATAAAGTCATCTGGAATGGTTAACAAAGCATTTTTGCAGGACTCAGAGAGTTCATCAAGATTCTCTGGATTCATCTTCAATGCCTCCTCCATCATCTTACCCCATGCTCAATAATGTTTGTGTCTGGTGACTGGGCTGGCCAATCCTGGAGCACTTTGACCTTCTTTGCTTTCAGGAACCTTGATGTGGAGGCTAAAGTATAAAAAAAAGAGTGCTATCCTGCTGAAGAATTTGCCCTCTCCTGTGGTTTGTAATGTAATGTGCAGCTCAAATGTCTTCATTCCTCAGGCTGTTGATGTTGTCGTCCATTCTGCAAATCTCTCGCACCCTCTATACTGAATGTAACCCCAAACCATGATTTTTCCTTCACCAGGCTTGACTGATTTCTGTCAGAATCTTGGGTACATGCGGGTTCCAATAGATCTTGTGCAGTATTTGTGAAGATTGGGATCTACCTTCTGCCACTTTACCAAATGATCAACTAGAACATAAGATATTATTTGTTGCTCTTACAACTGGGATCCAGGACAACACTTTTGTCGGGTAGTGTATACTGAACATTTAATATTTGAGCTACAAAGTTTTATTTATTGTACCCAAATGTCTTACATTTGTTTGAAATGCTTACCCTGTCACAGACAATTAGTAATATTTCACTCAATGAATTCCACTATCCTGCAATGTGACTACAACGGATTTGCACATTGGAACATAGATGCTGAAACAATGTATTGTGCAGCCCTACTGTACAATAATGCTATCAAATTAGCACTGCTCTATTTGAGTTGTATGTACACCACTGTTTGATGTTGATATTATTTTATTAATGTTTCTGAAAGAAGATTCTTGATGGTCATATCAAGACTGATTTAATTTGATCATAAAAACAGTATTTGTATCATCAAACAATATTATAATTAAAACATAATTTTAGCATTTTAATATTGAAAAAAAAAAATTATTCATGTGATATCAAATTAGATTTTTTTTAAAAAGTATAATTGTTTCAGATTTGTTTGAAAAATGCCAATTTAGTCATCAAGAATATGATCTTGAGTGTTTACTTAATGTTGAAATGGTGACAATTTCATGACTCTTTCTTGAATATGAAGAGAACAGAAATTATTTGTAACAGTATAACATGTCATTATGCTTTTGATCAAACCCATCAATCCTTTCTGAACAAAAACTTTACAGTTAAAAAAAAAAATTGTACAGATCCCAAAGTATTGGTATTGCATTTATGCGTTACTTTAAGATGACTTTTTAAAATACAATTAAAGTCCCAATGAACCAAAAGCTGCAACCCTTTTTTGTATTGTGACGCAGTTCCTAGAGACCAGAATATTAAACAAAAAACTGTGGACATGGCTTGTTTTTTTCTACTAAAAGCTAAATGGATGTAGTAAAGTAGGCATTTCATTTAGAAAGATGGGGGAAAGAGTGTGGTTAGGTGTGTTAGCCATGCCCAATTCCAAAGGTATACCTAATCTAACAATTTAACTGGAAAAAAAACATGGAATGCATTTTCAGATTTTAATTAAAGATTACAAGTGCATTTTGTCAAAATGACATGCACACACGAATTGGTCCCTAAAAAACTAGCAATGTGAGCTAACAAAATCATATGGTGAGTATTGATTTCTTGGGTACTTTAACTTCTGCCAATTATTGCAAACCATTTACTGTAAGCAATTTTTACTTTGGATAAATGTCTAAAATACGGAATTTGGCGTTTTTTCTAAAATAAATGATTGTCCTTTGTATCCAAACTTAAAACTGACAACCAAACCAATTTTTTTTATTTTATATTATTTAACATTTTTGTTAATGTCATTATATTATGGGAGTTTTGAAATGGAATGATTTTGTGGAAGTGCTGCGATGAGATCTGATAATTAGTCTGCAAAAAATATTTGGCAGCTATCAAAAAAAAAATTTCTTCTTTGAAAGAAATCGGTTTAAGAGCTGTATTAAAGATTGTGTTTATTAGACGGCTCTTCATCTCACCTGCGGGGTTTGCGGATATCCCATAGTCCAACTCCCTCTTTAGAGTTTGCAGTGGCCAGCAGACGAGGCTCAACAGGGTTAAACATCACACTGTGAAATGCTGAGGGGTAGTTGGCCAAGCAGAACGGTTCTAGAACACACAAACAAAAATTTCAGATAAACGTTTTGACACTCAAGAACCGTTTTTGCTTTAATGTAATAAATTAAAATAAACATGGGGTGTGCAAGATTTATTGAATACAATTATGTTACTAAAACTGTTACAAATGATTTATATTTATAAGATATGATTTTATTAAGTAATATCATACAAGCAAAATCCACAAAAATGCCATCAGCAAAAAAATATAAATAAATAAAACTTTAGCTTTTACTACCAAAACATCTTGTGATAATAATTTCATTATTTGTTATTACACCGCAGTCCTTATGTTTTTATAAAGCAAGAAAAATGGGATTGCCTTTGCAAGGGGCACCTGCAAAATTTTATTTAAAGGTACGCTATACGCTTCAGCCCCAAAACACGAACTGGTTTGTTAAATAAAATAATAATCTAGCCTAAATAAAAGTAAAGTGAAATATTCTGTTTCAGAGAAGCATATTTTAAACAGTTTTCACTGTTATTTACAAAACCATCTATTGCAAAGCATTTGCAGCAGCACTGAAGTGTTTCTAGAATACCTCGGAAGAACAAACTTCTGAGGATGTTTACTTATTTGTGCCAGTCTGTCAGATAAAAATGTTTAAAACGCCTTGAATGGTATAGCGGTTCCACGCCAGGAGGCTGCGCAGCTGGATCAGAATTGTCCAATGAAAGAGACATGGGCTGGGCCTGGAGTTCCCCTAGCTCAGGTGCTGATGAGACTGCGGTCTTCACCCCATGTGGGGAAGCAATATTTGTCTCATTAGCTTTAGGCCTTTTGGCAAATGTCTCAATTAAGTTTAGCTGTTTTTATAGAGAATTTACTTATTTTGAACCTTGTTTTAAACAATAGCTATCTGAATTGTAATTTTTATTGTGCAAAAAAACAAAAAAAACAAAAGCAAAACTGGAAAAAAAAAGCCAATAGATTTCTTTACCCATCTCCCATCATGCAAGCACATACATAAATAAATAAATCTGCATTAATTCGTACCCTCTCATTGTAGGTACCATATGGCAGCAGGCGCCACTGGCTTTTGCTATGCTTTTAGATTGTAGGTTAATAATGCTCAAATTAAAAGAAAGATCCTTTCCAACCTTTGAGCAATAGCTTATAGACCTTTTACACCACATGAGAAAAAATACAATATATTATAAGAGGACATACCAGTGTTTTATATTACTTGGCAATTATTGTTTTAGATCAGAAGAACATGATCCTTCAGTTATTTCATGTTTTTCATTTTTTAAATAATGTTTTTTCCATTAAAAATAAATATCTATATTTATAAATAAATAACATTCTTATCATATAGATTTTTTTACTTAAATGTATGTGGGTGTGATGAAGAAATGTACTGTATATCTCATGTTTGACATGTATGTTCAATAAACAAAAACTTTAGAGAAAAAATGATGACGTCAATATCACACATTTCTAAAAGTCTTCTTTCAATACCTTTAAAAAATGACAAGAGGTCAGTCTAACCATACACATCTAGTAGGGGTGTAACGATACACTCAGCTCACGATACGATGTGTATCACGATATAATGTTCACGGTTCGATATGTATCACGATATTTGGAATAAAAATTGAAAATTAAACTGAAATGCAAATTTTACCAAGTAAACTATTTTTTATGTATTTCTTTTGTTTCAACTTGTTAAACTGAACCTTCTTTAAGAAAATAAATTAAACAGGCCTGTCTGTGGAAAATAAAACAATTTAAAAACTTCTTAAAAATATTATTGAAATGACAGAGACAAAATTAAGGAACAATTTAAGTAAAGGTGCAAAAAAAAAAAAACAAGTTTTCTATTCAATTGAATTTAACAGTAAGAGCTTAAGGCTTTGCTTGGTCACTTGCGTTTTTTGTGTGTGCAAAAAAAAAAATCCACATTTCCTGGTATTTAATTCATATTTATTTAAATTCATTTAGAGATATCTCTAATTACAATTGTGACTAGTCAACTTATTTAGAGATATCTGCAAATATTTTTCAATGGAAGTCAATGGAGGAATATGACTAGTCATAATATACTTGCAGATATCTCCAATCTGATTTCGTACTAGTACAATTGTAATTGCAGATATTTCTAATTGTCATTCTGACTAGTCGAATTATAATTATGACTAGTCAAAATAAATATCCCTATATATAATATATAAATATATTTATGGATAGTCAGAACAAAGGTTTAAATGCTAAAACGGCTTGCCATACGCGCGCGTCTATCAGTCCGCCCTCTGTAGTAACAGCTCACAGTCAGCTCACGTCATGTGTGATTTTGCGGCGGGAACATTATATGAAGACAGAATGATATTTTAGGGTGAATTGTACCTTATAAATACAGTCTGTGACTATTTCAACACCATTAGGAGGTATCCCTGTCGCTGTGCAAAGTATGTAAATTACTGTGAAGACTTTAAAATTTTGGCTATGTTTGACCCAGTATGCGTGTCAAAAAGCGGACGAGTCTAAAGCAATGACTGTACAACCGAAATGTTGCCAGACGTCTGCTTTTGAGAGGATGGGCCATCCTCTATTTCAGCTCCACTCATCTTGGTCTGCTAACATTACTGCTGCTGTAATCTGAACTCACGTTCGACAGCAGGTGGAACGTAGCTCACGTGCAAACAGCTCAACTATTAAGAGAAAACGGACGTCATATCGTAATCAAATCGTCATAACGCCACGATGCATATTGTGACATTTTTGCATCGCAATAAATCATACAACGATAAATCGTTACACCCCTAACATCTAGTGGCATTAAAGTAGTCCATACTTAAAAACAAAAACTTCACTTTCACGTGTCTACCTCCATGTGGTGGCTCTCTGGTATCCCATATGAGAACTCTTCCGTCATCAGAGGAGCTGGCGAAGACGTTATCATTAACCGGACTGACGGACAGACCATACACGGCGTCATCATGCAAGAAGACATTGAGCGTCTCCCCACGTTCCACGTCATGCAGAATCACCTGCTCATCATTTCCTGTACAAACAAACAGAATGAGTTCACATTAAGCTTTCCCTCTAAGGGAGATCAATTCTGAAATGACATAAGTAGGCCAACAGCGTCATCAAGCACTGCACTGAAGATGACATGATCAAGGATTATGATAATGGAAATGGAATGTGAAGATATAATTCATGAGACTAAACTGCAATACAAAGCTGCAGACGATGACAACAGGTAAAGAGTGCTAACATTAGCCTACTTCTGAATGTGCCAGTGCTTCATATAGCTACATTAGATCACAAATTGTGTTCTTAGAACTAGGGCTGCACAATATGGCAAAAGCATTGTTATCACGATAACTGCATATGCAAAATACATATCTCAGATTGTATGCATTTGTTGTTTATCTAAATTTCACCAATCAGATGATGCCTTACTATCTTTAGCCCCACCTCCCCAGTAGTGGCTGTTCTGCTATAGGCTGGAGCAGCCCAAAGGCAAACCCAGAGCTGAAAATACATACTTATGGCGGGAATCAAGACAAGTGAGGAAAATGACAACAGCCAATCAGAGTCAGAACATCTGCTGAGGTTTTCACTCATTCATAGGCTTCGTCCAATATTGCTTACTTGTCAAGTATGTACTACATTTGACTTTAAACTTACTTTATGACCATTAGAAAAGTATGTTCTATATAGTTTAAATAAGAGTAGCATGAATGGAATTCGGAGGCACTACATCCAATTTGTCACACCATTTGTCATTATTCCCTCCCATTCAAGAATTCTCTAGCGTGGCATCATGGGAAAGCATACAACCTATCAGATGTGCACTTCAGAATCTTGCTGGAAGCAGAAGGTAATCTGGGTACTTCTCACATACTGTTTTTCGAATACTATGAATTCGGACGTACTACTCGGCTCACCTACTGTTTTTCACATACAATATAGTATGGAAGTATGCCATAGTGTTTTAAAGACTAAATGTTTGCACCTTCACATTTTTTCAGTTTAAATTAGAATTAATTGGGTCTGAAAAAAATATTGCAATATCATTAAATAAATTAAGGATTTAAAATCATAGCTAATAAAAATTGCATTTTTCTAGAGAAAGGTTATATCAGAAAAAACATCTTTTTAGTAATACTCAACAATATCGCATATTTTCCAGTATTTTTCTGTCATGTTCCATCTGCAACTCCTAAAAGTGAATATTTCCACCAACAGTTGTAGTTAATGTGAAAAAGCTCTTCTCTGCTTCAGCAGTATTGTGAATCTGAGCAGCTGTGTGTTGTACCTCCTGAGAAAACACGCTTGTTGGTGCTGTCAAACGCCAGGCAGAAGATGTTGGACAGGTGCTCCCCCTTCAGCTTCATTGGTTTTGCCCGTGAGTGTATTGCTTTCTCCATGTGCCACAGCAACACCCTGCGGTCGTCTCCCCCTATAACAGAAAACACATAAACAGATTCACAAGAGGAACAAACTGTCGAGTGTGTATATATATAAATTTTTGTTCTTTAAACTTCTCATTAACTTTCTTCCAAATTTAAAATGGAAAATGTTCTCATAACTTTTGTGATTGCCTTAAAAAAAATATTTTCTACATTTAAAATGCTCAAAATTATAAAACTTAAGATTAGGAAGAATTATTCTTAGTGACTCTAAGATTAAGATCCGTGCTTAATAAATTGAAACTTTTCAAGAGGTCTCCTTTCATTTTTATTGCATTTTATTATCTGTATATGTGATAAATATCCAATTTCATTTTTTCATTTTAAAATTTATATTGTTTTTACTAAAATGAACAGTTTTAGGACCTTCAAAAAAATCCCTCCAAGGTTTGTGCAGGTTTAATAGTCAGATTTAAGACTTTTTAAAACCTTTTTAAGACCACAATGAATGAAATTTCAGACTTACGCGAGGTTAAAGGATTTTTAATGGCCAAGTTAAAACCTTAAAAACAAATGTTATTGAAAGGAAGATAATTAAACCACATTAATAAGTAAATAGAGTTAATAAATAAACATTTCTAAAAACTTTTATTGAAATATACTGTTAGTGATTGGATGTGTGTTAGCCCAATTGGGTAATGCTTTACATGGAAATAGGAAAATTAAGACCCATTTAAAATTATTTAAGAACTACAACACAATATTTCAGTGGATTAACATATTTTAAGACCCCGCAGATACCTTGTACCTCATCAAGATGCATTACTGACAATTGTAATCTAATCACTAGACCAGGGTCTGATCTCAGGTCAGTGCGAAACATCTGATATATGAATTATGGCCATAAATAAAAGTCTGAGTCGACTGGAAAACAGCACATTTATATCTAATGAAAGAGAATCAGGTGACTGCCTTATGCTGAATCAGTGTCATGTTTCCATCACTATTTTAATAATGTGGAGAATATCTGCAGACATGCGTGTTATATATAACTGACTACATAGGGATGTATTACATAGGCCTGTCACAATAATCAATACATTGACTTATCGCACAACACATGGACATGACCTCAATCATTTTTGGTGATTCAATATATGAGGTGTCAGTGTCAGTATAGTTAAACAACACTATAGTATTCACTATAAATTACTTCAGTATATTTTCATGTGGGTGGCTGACAACTGAAAATAGATCTGGTAGCAGATTTCGCAGCCTGTTACTTTTTTACCTTGAACTTTTTTGTAAACATTTGATATTATTATTTATTTAGAATACACATTTTCACATTCTGATTTCAATGTCTGATTAGTAAAATGACTATAATTAAATCAAACATTCTTAAGACTAAATGTGTTCCTTGCAGGAGTGTACTCATTCTGGAATTATATGATGAGTGGCAAAAAATTGTCTTTTAAATGACAATAATATAGTTTACCGCAATATATTTTGGTGCAATATATCCAACAACAAAAAATAGATATTGTGACAGGCCTAGCATTACATTGACCAAAGTGACAGCATATTTTTACTTTTGAACAACTGTATTGATCACCTTTATGTAAACGCATATAAAAGACGCCCAATGTTACAGAAGCATTCTATATAAATAAAACATTTGTTCATTTGAGCTTTCTATTCACGAAAATAATAATAATACATGCCTAATGCAAGTGAAAACACATGAAGACAGAAATAAAACCTCAAACAGGAATGAACATACGAAGCCAAACAAATCAGCAACAGCTGCAACCAATTAATGAGTCAGCAAGAAAAAAAAAAAAAAAAAAAAGTACAACAGAACTCTCACAAAAATAGTCTGAAATGTCTAGAGTGAGCATTAAAGAGGACCTACTATGCAAACATCACTTTTATAAGGGGTTTGAACAGAGTTGTGTGCAGCAGTGTGTGAATATAGCCAGCCTGTAAACGGTAAAAATTAGTCAAATCTATTTTTTATAATCACACTTGATAAAAACAGTCTGCAGAAACACTTTGATTGACATTCTCCCTTTGTACATGTCGTGTATAGTTTAGCCCCAACTCTAATCAAACACACCTGAACATGCCAATCATTGTGTTCAAGATCAATAGAAATCTATAAGCAGGTGTGTTTGATTAGAGTTGGAGCTAAACTGTGCAAGACACTGGCCCTCCAGGACCGGGTTTGCCCGCTAACTAGGATCTAGGACAGGGGTGCTCAATCCTGTTCCTGGAGATCTACCTTCCTGCAGATTTCAGTTGCTACCCATATCAAACACACCTGAACCAATTAATTAGGACCTGAACACCACTTGATAATTACAGGCAGGTGTGTTTGATATGGGTAGCAACTGAAATCTGCAGGAAGGTAGATCTCCAGGAACAGGATTGAGCACCTCTGATCTAGGACATTGCATGGGCAATCTTGATCCTGGAGGGATCCTAGATGCTGCAACCTAAAAAAATATTGGCTGTGTCCGAAAGCTTAGGTCAGGGGTGTCCAAAGTCGGTCCTGGAGGGCCGGTGTCCTGCTGATCTTAGCTCCAACTTCCTTCAACACAACTGCCTGGAAATTTCTAGTATACCTAGTAAGAGCTTGATTAGCTTGTTCAGGTGTGTTTGATTAGGGTTGGAGCTAAACTCTCCAGGACACCGGCCCTCCAGAATCGAGTGTGAACACCCCTGGCTTAGGTAGACGACTTGTTGCCTTACTGCCCTTATCAGTAGACCCACACAAAATCTGCACCCATCATTCAATTTATTTATTTACTCATGCAAATGTGTGTAAATATATTTATTCAGTTTTAATTTTAATTTCTGTATTATTATTATTATTGAATCATGCGAAAATATTTAGATAATTTATGTAAAATTTGTAAAGTAATATTGACTGTCTTAGTGGATGTATTATTTGAGACTTGCTAGCTTTGTTTATCAAAAAAAATGGTTCTAATTGTGGTTCAAAACTTCAACTTTGAAAAGTGAATAGAATTTCAATTTACTAGAACTTCTATGTTAAACTGCTTTGACAATCAACATTGTAAAAGTGCTATAGAAATAAAGATGACCGTAACTGGATTTTGACTGCAAACCTTTAAATAAAGTGAAGTTATTTTTTTATGTTTTCATTTTCAACTCAAAATTACTCTGCATAAATACAGAAATTAGTTTTAAAAAAAAAGTTTTTTAAAAGCATTTATAGCAAAAAGGTCATTACGCAGTGACTCTGGGGGCAGTGTTTCTCCATGAAAATACATCACAAAACTGATTTCTCTGGTGATACCAAAGGCAGTGGTTCCCAAAATGGGGGTCACAGGATAATGAGAGAGGCTCGCTTGGTGATTTCCAAAAATCAAATCAATTTTAATAAAAAAAAGATTGCGACTCCTTGGGTTTTTACATTAGATTATCTCCACAGCAATATTGTCATTTGCAACAGATTGATTTTACGGCACCAGCCAAAACATTCTCACACTTTTATAGCACTCAAATACATTAAAAATAAAAAACAAGCAACTGATCGTGGAGAATGATCTCCAAGTGGTGGTCTCCAAAATTAAACCAAGAATAGACTTGTGCTGTAAAATTAGTGCCGACCAGTCTCAGTAGGTAAGGTTAATGTTAAATTAAAAAAGTAAATAAATGACTATAAAAATTTTTGCATTGTTAGACTGTTGCACTTTTTTTTGTTGTCAATATGCTGATGTGTATATAGGCCTATTGGTGTCTGTGTTGTTGCATTCAACATTTGTATGTTTATAACCACATTTGAAAATAGTGGGGGATGTGAGTCACTGGCATTATTACTTTGGGGACCGTGGGCTGAAAAGTTTGGAAACCCCTCAATTTGCTGAATGCAAAACAAGATATTTTGAAGAATGTTGAAAGGTTTCAAACATTCTTTTTTCATATATAATTAATTTTTACAGATTTTTTTTCACCTTTCTTTTGGATAGGACAGTGGAGGACAGTAAAGTATTGAGAGCAGACAGAGGGGATGGGTCGGCAAAGGACCGTGAGCCAGGAATCTAACTCAGGTCGCCGCCCTTAACCACTAGGCTGTTGGCGCCGACAATACATCTTTTTGATGTTTGCAAATCAAGGGCAAATAAACAACAACAGACTTTTCTATTTTGGGTGAACTATGCCTTTAACAATTCATCCTAGTACTTAATTAAACTTCAAACTAGGAAAAATGTAATTATTAGTGACTTTTAACAATACCACGACAAAGCTTATGTGATGCCAACATGATGAAGCCCATATCTGTGAGTGACCCACTTCATGCAGGCTAAAAATAAGCATTTTCTAGAAGACTGATCTTTATCTCAAGTGTAACATGCAATGCACCATAACCTAGTATTGATATTACTCAGGTGTGAAACTTATATACAGAACATTATCCCTCTTTTAGTGTGCAAAACATAAAAGCAATAAACCATGCAAGTATCTGACGAATAAATATTAAAGTAAAGTTGGTTTTATATTCACACATTCAGACTCTTCTTAATAATATAATTTTAGAAAAGTGTTCTTTGCATATTCTAAATAGTGAAATCATATTAGCAGCAAATGACTATCAAAACACATCATTAACAGTCAATTAAATAGTACTTATGTTGTTTTGAAGTCATACTTACATGCGATTTTACTATAAATATTTAAAGAAGCGTGGTAAACAAGTTGTGACTAAATGAATGTGCGAATTAAAAACAACTTTACCTCAATCAAATTAAGCTGTCAGAAATGATTCTGAACTCCAGTTTATGGCTTCATTTCTCATTTGAGATAAAGTTGTTTTAATATTCGCACATTTGTCCAGTGACAACTTGTGACATGCTCCCTACATTGTTTCGTTGAAATTGCAATGCAAACATGACTTTATATGATAGTCATTGGCTAATAACATGCGCTCACTATTCCGAATTTTAATATTATAATATTAAGGAGAAAGTCCTAATACAAGGCTAATTTCACCCCAATATGCTTATTGAGGTAAAGTCCAAACTAATTTGGAATATTCGGTCTGAAATCACATGCAAGTATGACTTGAAATCAACAGCAGCATTATTTATTTGACTGTGCACAATGTTGTACTTTGATAGTCAATGGCTGCTAATAGGATTTCACCACTTAGAATTTGCAAAGGAAGACTTTTCTGAAATGATATTATTAGGGAGAATGTCCAAATGTGCAAATACAAAACTGTCACCCCCAATATGCTTTTTAAGGTAAAGTTGGTTTTATATTATCATATTTGTCCAGTGAGAACTTGTGACATAGTACCTACCGTGTTTACCAAGCTACTTTGGAATATTCGGTCTGAAATCATGACTTTAAAACAACACTAGCACCATATATTTGACTGTGAACAATGTTGTTGCCTATTTTGATAGTTACTGACTGCTAAAGTGATTTCATTATTTAAAATCTGCAAAGAAGACTTTTATGAAATTCTCCTTGATAATATAAAGTCCAAATCTACTCCAATATGCTTTTTAAGGTAAAGTTGGTTTTATATTCACACATTCGTCCAGTGACAATTTGTGACACGCTCCCTACATTGTTTACCAAGCTACTTTAGAATGTTCAGTCTGAAAACGCATGTAAACATGACTTTAAAACAACACTAGCACTATCTATTTGACTGTGAACAATGTTGTACTTTGATAGTCATTGGCTGCTAAAATGATTTCATCATTTAGAATTTGCAAAGACTTTTCTGAAATTATAATATTAAGGAGAAAGTCCAAATGTGCAAATCCAAAACCAACTTCACACCAATATGCTTATTGAGGTAAAGTTAGTTTTATATTGGCACATTTGTCCTGTGACAACTCGTGACACAGTACCTACATTGTTTCCCAATCTACTTTGGAATATTCGGTCTGAAATCGCATGTAAACATGACTTTAAGACAACATTAGCACTATTTATTGACTGTGAACAATGTTGAACTTTGATAGTCATTGGCTCCTAATATGATTTTAAAGAAGACTTTTCTGAAATTATATTATTAGGAAGGAAGTCCAAAAGTGCGAACATAATACCAACTTTACCCCAATACGCTTCCGTTAGCAACTGCTACCTGCCGCTGACCCACATTCAGCGAGAACCGGAGAATCTTACCGGACACCAGCCACTGGCCTCCATTGTTGGAGAACTCGATGGCGTTGACGCAGCCGAAGTGTCCGAGCATGTCCTTCTTGTAGAGGCTAGAGCAGCCGGACAGTCTGCGGCGCTGGAACTCCTCCTTCAGCTGCGGGTGTCCGTCGATCGTCCTGCGGGAGAGAAACCCGACGGCGCTCCGCATGCTGCAGCCCCGCGCCTCCTTCATCTCTCCGCCACAAAATGAGTGTCGACGCCGCCGCTAGAGTGTCCCGGCCGGCATGGGCTTGAGCTCGGGTCTGGTTCGGTGAACTGTAGCTCGGCTAGACGGACTACTTTTTACATGTTTGCTCGGTAAAGCGTGAAAGTGCGCAGCAAAAACAGAGGCTTGTTTAGAGTCCCACCGACCGCCGGCACTTCCTGCTCCGGTGCACGGCTGATGACGTCACGAGAAGAGATCGCTTTAAGTTCATTGTAGCAAAAAATAACATGATGCATGAAAACTGATGGAAACGTTTCCGAGTGTTTATATAAGATGATATGAGATACCTATACTACTATTGTGAATTCGCAAATCTCTAAATAAAAATGTTTAAAATAAATATTAAAAATATATTTGAAGACTTCTTTTAAGTTCCAAAAGACTAAACTTTCATGATCTGACATCTTTATACTTCACCACTCTTTTTCAGAACACTGGATTACCATTTCATTCATTTCAAGTATAATAGAATTTTGTCATCTTGTCTTGGCCTACATAAAGGGTTCGTGTTAACTGCAGGTGGTTTTTATCATATGATTCTGTTTATTCATTTTCTTTTTGGCTTAGTCTCTTTATTATTCTGAGGTCACCACAGCGGAATGAACCCCTAACTTATCCAGCATGTTTTACGCAGCAGATGCCCTTGCAGCCACGCAACCCATCACTGGAAAACATCCCCACACACCCATTCACACACAGACTACACTACGGACAATTTAGCCTACCCATATCACCTGTACTGAATGTCATTGGACTGTGGGGGAAACCGAAGCACCCGGAGGAAACCCACGCAAACACGGGGAGAACATGCAAACTCCACACAGAAACAGCAACTGACCCAGCCGAGGCTCGAACCAGTGACCTTCTTGCTGTGAGGTGATTGTGCTACCCACTTTTTTAACCCATAAATAAATGCAGTGTAAATAGACATTATAAAAACTGTTTATATGATATTTTACTAATATTAATATAGCTTAATTCTGATACTTCGTGGCATAGATTCAACAATGTTCTGAAAATATTCCTCAGAGATTTTGGTCCATATTGACCTGATAGCATCACGCGGTTGCAGCAGGTTTGTCATCCCAGATGTGCTCCATTGGATTGAGTAACTGTGGAGGCCATTTGAATACAGTGAACTCATGATGATTTATCACATGGCGCTTTATCCTGCTGGAAGTAGTCATCAGAAGATGGGTACACTGTGGTCATAAAGGGATGTACATGGTCTGCAAAAATCCCCCACACAATTACACCACCACCACCAGCCTGAACCGTTGAAACATGGCTGAATGGATCCATGCTTTCATGTTGTTGACCCTAAATTCTGACCCTACCATCAAAATGTTGCAGCAGAAATCGAGCCTCAACAGACTAGGCAACGTTTTTCCAATCTTATATTGTACAATCTTGGTGAGCCTGTGCATATTGTAGCCTCAGTTTCCTGTTCTTAGCTGACAGGAGTGGCAACCAGTGTGGTCTTCTGCTGCTGTAACCCATCTGGCTCAAGGTTGGACGTGTTGTGTGTTTAGAGATGCTCTTCTGCATACCTCGGTTGTAACGAGTGGTTATTTGAGTTACTGTTGCCTTTCAGCTGGAACCAGTCAGGCCATTCTCCTCTGGCATCAACAAGGCATTTGCACCCACAGATCAGCCACTCACTGGATATTTTAAATCAGCAGTTTCTGAAACACTCAAACCAGCCAGTCTGGCTCCAACAATCTTGTCACGTTCAAAGTCACCTAAATCACTTTTCATCCTCATTCTGATGCTTAGTTTGAACTGCAGCAGATCGTCTTGACCATGTCTACTTGCCTAAATGCATTGAGTTGCTGGCATATGATTGGCTGATTAGAAATTTGTGTTAATAAGCAGTTAGACAGGTGTACCTAATAAAGTGGCCGTTTTGTGTGTGTGTGTGTGTGTGTGTGTGTGTGTGTGTGTGTGTGTGTGTGTGTGTGTGTGTGTGTGTGTGTGTTTGTGTGTGTGTGTGTGTGTGTCTGTGTATGTATGTATATATCTATACATTTATTTATATATATTAACACATTACCACCTGAATGTTACAGATCCACTCAAATAAAAGTAAAGTCACACAAAACGTTTTAGCATTATAAATCCTCTGATAATAAGAGAAATATTTCTCTTTGTACAGATAAAGCCTTTTGGATCAAAGCTTTATTGAAACTTTACGTTTCCAAAATTTTATCTGGTTATCCAAGTGCAAATCAAAGTGCCAACATCGGTTTAACATTCAACCTAAAAGACAAATCACAAGTAGAAGCAGAAAAAGCATCTTAGTGTGTGTAGTTTTATTAAATTCCAGTTAAGGAATTACAGTGGTAGTATTTTTTCACCTTTTTCTTACAAATACAAATTTATCTGAGTAATCCCCATAACTGGAGTGGAACCTTTAAATTAAAAAGCTAAAATATTTTTAAATTACATTTTTTAATATGTAAAAAAACACAACTAATACTAGTGGCAGGTATACATTTAAACGGCAAACAGACAGTTGTCGAGCACAGCTTTAACTATAGGCTGACATCATCAGCACAGCTCCTTACATACTGTATAATATGATAACTTATGAACTTCTGACAGTCTGAACAGGCATGAAATATGTCCATTTAATTGCACCAAATCTCCGCTGACCATAAACAGAGCAACACTGACATCATTGCACAGCTTTGCCACTTAATCGTGACAAGCGCCGGTTGACTTATGGATAATTCTTCTCTCATGTGTTGAATTTGACATAGGTTGGCTTTCTAAGGAGCAAGAGAGGCACGATATAATTTGATTTAGATCTACTCTATATGAGTAATAAGGACTAAACTACCTCACGATCCTGCAAAGCAGAGACTAACAGAAGGTTCAGCACCTCTTTAAAAGGCCTTTTGAATAGTACACATGTCTAATATGTTAATAACACTGAGACGTGAGGATCTACACGTGTTCATGTCATCTACAGGCAGGTAGAAGCATTCAGGCTGAGGAAAACACTGCTAGTGTTATGCTACTAATCTGGAGAGATTCAGATACAGCGATGTTCAGGTTTGCAGCTCCTTCGTTTAGTATTCATGAAACATCCGCAGGCCATATTTCACCCCAAAATTAGGAGAATATATATATATATATATATATATATATATATATATATATATATATATATATATATATATATATATATATATATATATATATATATATGTATATATATATATTAACTGTGAAAAATTAAAGTCTAACATATTTTTGCTTGGCTTAAGTTTGTTTTTTGTTCTTTTCAAACTGGATTTTAAAAAGTCGATCATTTGGTCTTATAAACTAACACTAAACTATTTTTACAGTATTTATTAAACTAAGTTTCAGTTTTAATTTCGACAACAAATTTTGATTCAGTTTCAGTCTAGGTCTATGAACTAAAATTCCATTTTAATTTTGGTTGTATTTTAGACTTCTGAATCCTTTTAGTTTTAGTTGACTGAATTTCATAAGATTTTAGTCGACTAAATCTACTCTAGATTTATAAGATTTGTAAAGATATGTAAAAATATGTGTCTGCAATCAATCCACATGTAAGAATAGTAGCCTACTGAAAATGCAGGATTGTGTAATTATTTAGCAAACCTTTTATTTTAATGTGGTAAACTATTAGTCTTTTAACCAGTCTGTTGAACAGTTTCATGCCATTAAATCTTTGAAAAGGCTTAAAATAGTCCACTTTGCAATGTCAGTCTACCAAACTTCACTCTTGTAGTTGGTGCTCAGCTATAGCACTGATTAAATAAGTATGTATTAGTATAATATATTAATATTAATAAATATATATATATTAACACATTTCTAAACATAATAGTTTTATTAACTCATTTCTAATAATCGATTCATTTTATCTTTGCCATGATGACAGTAAATAATATTTGACAAGATATTTTTCAAGACACTTCTATACAGCTTAAAGTGACATTTAAAGGATTAACTAGGTTAATTAGGTTAACTAGGCAGGTTAGGGTAATTAGGCAAGTTAATGTATAATGATGGTTTGTTCTGTAGACTATAGAGAAAAAAATACAGCTTAAAGGGGCTAATAATTTTGTCCCTTAAATAGTGTTTAAAAAAATGTAAAACTGCTTTTATTCTAGCCAAAATCAGACAAATCGGACTTTCTCCAGAAGAAAAAATATTATCAGACATACTGTGAACCTTTCCTTGCTCCGTTAAACATCATTTGGGAAATATTTAAAAAAGAAGAAAAAAATTCAAAGGGGGCTAATAATTCTGACTTTAACTGTACACAAAATGTCAAAGTAATGACATTTGACTGCCAAATAATAATGTGGTACATATAATACATCACTCAATCACACTCTCGTCTCGTTTTATCAGTTTTATCAGTAGTTTTCGTATAGTTTTTGTCCATAGAAATCCGTGATGAACAAGTTATGATGAAAATTTTTCGCCAACGAAATGAACACTGCTAGGTTTATTTATAAATTTGTTAATTTGTATTCCATTAATGATAATCTCTACCTGAAACATAAACCATGTACAAAATTCAAAACATACATATGTATTAAAACATATACTGATATTATTTTATAGTATATAATATATAATTATAGTATAAGTTGTTTAATTATCTGCTTTGTGATGACATTTTCATGTTACAGTATGTATACGCACACATACATTATTGTTCAAAATAATAGCAGTACAACGTGACTAACCAGAAAAATCCAGGTTTTTACTATATTTTTTTATTAATTCATGGCAAACAAGTTGCCAGTAGGTGCAGTAGATCCTCAGAAAACAAACATGACCCAGCATTCATGATATGCACACTCTTAAGGCTGTGCGATTGGGCAGTTAGTAGAAAGCGGTGTGTTAAAAAAAAATAGCAGTAGCATTCAATCAGTGAGGTCATCAATTTTGTTATTTGTTAATCAGGTAGCCCCTATTTAAGTATGAAACCAGCACTTGCTGAACATGCATTTGAAAGCCTGAGGCAAATGAATCGAAGACATTTTTAGATGACGTTTGTGTGAATCTATTATGAAGAATCCCCCCCAAAGTACCTCTGTTTAAAAAAAGGCATGTGCAAAAGAGGTTACAATTTGCCAAAGAACACATCAACTGGCCTTAAAAAGTAATGAAGAAGTAATGAAGAAACATTTTGTGGACTGATGAGAGTAACATTGTTGGGTCCAAGGGCCACAGTTTGTGAGACAACCCCCAAACTCTGAATTCAAGCCAAAGTACACAGTGAAGCATGGTGGTGGAAGCATCATGAGTTGTTTGTCCTACTATAGTATTGGGCCTATTTATCACATTCCAGGGATCATGGATCAGTTTCCATATGTCAAAATACTTGAAGAGGTCATGTTGCCTTATACTAAAGAGGACATGACCCTGAAATGGTTGTTACAACAATAGAATGACCCCAAACACACTAGTAATTGACCAAAGTATCAGCTCCAAACCAACAAAATTAATGTTATGGAGTGGCCATCCCAATCCCCAGACCTTAATCCAATCGAGAACTTGTGGGGTGATATTAAAAATGCTTTGTCTGAGGCAAATCCAAGAAATGTAAATGAATTGTGAAATGTTGTTAAAGAATCATGGAGTGGACTAACAGCTGAAAGTTGGTTGACTCCATGCCACACAGATGTGAAGCAGTTATATTTTTTATAACTGCTTCACATCTGTGTGGCATGGAGTCAACCAACTTTCAGCTGTTATGTGGTCATAAAACTAAATATTAGTTTAGTGCTTCAACAAAAACATTTGTACAAAATAGTTTTGAGTTTGTACAGTCAATGGCAGACACTGCTATTTTTTTAAACACACCGCTTTCAAATAATTGCCCAATTGTACAGCCTAAAGAGCAGGTAAATCGTGAATGCTGGGTCTTCTTGTTTGTTTTCTGAGAATCTACAGCACCTTCTGGTAACTTGTTTGCTATGTATCAATAAAAGAATATACTAAAAACCTGGATTATTCTGGTTAGTCACGTTGTACCGCCATTATTTTGAACAATGCTGTATGTGTGTATGTATACTGAATGTGCACACACAGTATATACACAGTATGGACACTGTACACACACACACTGAATATGAAAATTTCATCACAATGCAAGAATCATTACAATTATATGTGCACCAACATAAACATTATTAAATAATTATTATATATTATATACATATATCATAATATCTTATTATTTAATTATTATTATATAGTACTCAAATTTTGAAGTGGATCAAGACCTTTCATCTTTTTTAAACTGCATATTTTACGATATACAATTTTGAGGGTGAAATATGACCTGACGTATTCTGAAATATTTTAGGCACATTTTTCTAAATATCCAATACAGCATTTGGGGAAACAAGAAATAAAACAGAAAATGTGCATTACATTTTAAGAATAGTTAAGATTTAAAAAAGTTTTTAGCGAGTGCATCACACAGGTGTGACGGTCTGATGGAGACACAGACACTCAGTTCAGTCCAGTCTCTCAAAGCTCTGCTGCAGTTTTTAGCTGGAGTGAACAGCGCTGTGCACCACAGAAAGCATATTACAACAAAAACACAAACTAGACACGTTTTAAAAGTGCTTTAGCGTTCAGTACCTTCAGTGAATACATTCATATACACACACATAAAACACACACATACAAAATAAACCAAATAAAATGAAGTGGAAACTAAAACACACACATTGAAGAGACAGTTCACCAAAAATTGTCATCATTTACTCACTAAACATTTTCCCATGTTTGTTTCTGCTGTAGAACACAAAAGAAGATGTTTTGAAGGATGTTAGAAATTGGTAATCATTGATTTTTTTCCTACAATGGAAGACAATGACTACCAGAATCTAACAACTATCTTCTTTTGTGTTCAATAGAAAAACGAGAGACTCATAGGTTTGGAACTACTTGAGTAAACGTATTTTTGAGTGAACTGTCCCTTTGAGAGATTCGTCGAGACCTTGCTGAGGTTATTCAGTGAGCAGGAGAACATTCTTCTGCTTTCTTCAGGAAAACCCGATCCAGATTGAGTCCTTTAAACAAAGCATCAGCCCTTCCTTCTCTCTTTTGCTGGTTTTCTCTCCCACATGTGCTAAAATGTGTGGAACATCCTTGTGAATTAGCAAAAAACTCACTAGTTACGGAGTTAAAGATTCAGTTCATTAGTCGTCTCACTTAATAAACACCGCAGGGTTTTAAAAGCTCAACGTACACTGTCCAAAAAAATAAAAAAGAAGCCCTGTTGCTTTTTATGCATCAAGTCTTTCGTAAAAGAACAATCAAAAATGGACACAAACCGTGAGAAAGCGGGTATTTTAAATAAAGACATCAGGCAGCTCTGAGTTTAAAGGCAGCCGCAGCGTTCAGGAGTGCTTCAGTAGGGCCCTTTTGAGGGACCAAAGATGGCCAGAGGGAAGTGTTTGACATGAGATGACCACTGAGCCGCGAGCTGGAAAAACTTCACATCGTTCCACTCGACTCCATCTATCAACACTGCAAAACACAAACACACACACCACAGCCTTTAGTCTGGAGCCACATTTTCATTCATACCATTCCAATATAATTCAATTCAAGTTTATATGTATAGCGCTTTTTTGTTTGTCAAATAAGTTTTATTTGGTCATTGAATAGACTTAAAATAACCACAAATTCCAGGATTAATTTTCTGAAATGCATAAACTTACAAAAACAAACAAACAAAAACAAAACAAAACAAAACAAACAACCCAACCCAAGCCTTTGAGTATACAATACAGTGATAATCAAAACAACTTTTTTGTTACAATACATTGCTCTGGGGAAAAGAATTTCCCATGAAGCGACAGAAGTAATGGCCCCGAATCTTCAGAAATTGTGCAATGTTCCCTTTTAAAATACATCTGGTTCGATCGAAGTGCAGAGTAGATATCAATTCTTCAAGCCATAGTTTTAGCAGATGGATGATTAACATTTGTTAAGTACAATAGTAACAGCTTTTTGGCTGCTATCAAACAATATGTAAGGAATTTCTGTTGTGCACTGCTCAATGAATTTGTATAATTAGAATGTCATATTATAATAAGCACTGGGTCAGGATCTAGATCAGGGACATATGATTATACAGAAACAACTGCTTTTCAAAGCTACATTCGTTCATTCATTCATTCATTCATTCCTTAATTTTCCTTAGTCCATTATTTATCAGGTGTCGCCACAGCGGAATGAACCGCCAACTATTCCAGCATATGTTTTACGCAGTGGATGACCTTTCAGCCACAACCCAGTACTGGTAAACACCCGTAAACTCTCGAATTCACACATACACTATGGTCAATTAGTAAATCCAATTCACCTATACTGCATGTCTTTGGACTGTGGGGGAAACCGGAGCACCCGAAGAAAAACCCAAGCGAACAAAGGGAGAACATGTAAACTCCACACAGAAATGCCAACTGGCCAAGCCAGGACTCAGACCAGCGACCTTCTTGCTGTGAGGTGACAAACAACTGAGCCACTATGCCGCCCCAAAGCGACATGTTTTAACAAATATCAATAATATTGGGAAGATTAAGATTAGGGTTGTCTTTTAAAAAAATTTAAAGTATTCATTTATTTAACACAATAACAACAACAAAAAAGACTGCATCCATTTTGTTTAACCATGGTGGAATGCATATGTGCTAACCATACAACTAGCAGCATGCTCATTTAAGCAGCTTGCTAACCATGCTAACAGTACGCTCAAACATGTCAGTCACATGCTTTCTACATGCACAAAAAATGCTAATTCACGCTTCTAAAATGTTAAACATGCACTACTTACACTATTAATACTACAAAATGACGTAAAATAGTGCAGCATAACAGCATGCAATGTTGTTTGAAATATTGAGACAAGGCTCTTCCAGTAATCTTTACTATGTGTTCTTTTTAAAATCTCTGACTCCTTTTGAATGTTGTTAGTCAAGGTTTATGAGCTTATTATTTGCTATGTAAATATATTATTTTAATGGTGCCCTCGCAAAGCTAGAGTTACATTGTTCCAAGTTCACGAAACAGTTTGAATTGCAATGTGACACTTTTGCAGATTAATTTTTTTACTGTTAAGGAAGCTTTGAGTCTTAAAGCTATAGTGTTTCCATAGTACGTCAGTAACTATTGTATTGTACCAAGGCAGTGTTTCTCAACCACATTCCTTGGGGACCACCAACACTGCATGTTTTGGATGTCTTCTTTTTCTGTCACACCCATTCCAGGTCTTTCAGTCTCTGCTAATGAGCTGATGATCTGAATCAGGTGTGTTTGGTTAAGGAGATAAGGGAAATGTGCAGAGCTGGTGGTCCCCCAGGAGCATCGTTTTGAAACACTGTACTAAGGTATTTCTATACAGTATGTATAATTATTAAGAGTGCAAAACATACAACATAAACACAGAACGCATAAACAGTAATAGAACAGAAACAGTGTTGCCAGATGTAGCAGATTTTTCCAGCCCAAAAGCTGTCAGATTCACCTAAACACACAAAAAAACGGCCAAATTATTAGAGTAATATTTTATTTAATTTTAATATATTTAAATAAAAAATAACCTAGTTGCATTAACTGTCATCATTTTTAACCATACAGCAACCAACACCAGCAGTCACAGAACCACAACATAACCAGGTCTCATCAAAACACTGCCCACCTCACCCACACGCTACACTTAATGTTGTGTAGATTACACTACCTATTAGAGTACTTTCGAAATGGGGTATGATATTCATCCTATTTGGCGTTTTAAATTCTTTGAAACATAATTAGGTGATGCTTGTCAAACAGAAAATTCTTCGATGTTTGTTCTTGCTGTCAATTGTGAAAAAAAATATTAATAAGTGTCATGATAAACCGCAGTGAGTTTAACTGCAGGTGCGGCGTGATCCACATGCACGATTTGTCCACGGTGTCAGATTTTGATACAACTTTCCTTCACCTCCTCTTGCGGGTGGGCCCATGCTGTTTGTGCTATGCACTGGTCACTACCAGTTAAATAGAGTAGGAGCACAAAGTTTTATTTTGTTAAATAGGTTGCATATAACATTTACGTTTCAAAAACACCCAAATTGTCAACCAATTCTATGCCATTTTTTACCGCACAATCAAATTTAAAACCGCCCAATCTGGCAACACTGAACAGAAATGAAAATAACAGGAATGTGTATAAACCATTATAATATTAATAGTATTTACCATTCTTAGTCATAATAATGAAAATACTATTATTTAAATAAATAATAACAATATTTATATTAAAGTTGCTGATGATAAAAGTAATGTTCTGTAATGACGGCAACAGTGATATCAATAATAGCATTATTAATTCATTCATTCATTTTCTTTACGGTTTAGTCCCTTTATTAATCCGGGGTCACCACAGCGGAATGAACCGCCAACTTATCCAGCACGTTTTTATGCAACAGACCTTACAGCCGCAACCCATCTCTGGGAAACAGCATTAATAATAATAAGGGTATACTAATAATGATTATGCAATATGAAACCATAATAATAGAAGACAAATTGCTATGTACTACACGGAATAATAATTGTTTGCTGCTTGTTTTGATTTGATACATTTTTTTTCGAGAAAAAAAATCATACATAAAATATAATTAACAAAAAATAGATTTTAACATTGTCGAAAAAGGAGTGGAAAGAAGCACAAGCTTATTATTTTCCATTATTTCTACTTTTACTTATCTCTTCTTTTTACATGAGACATATTTTAACCTTTTTGCATCTGACATAGTATATGTTTGATTCCATTTGTACCTTTACATTTTGTAACATAGACCCAAAATAAAAACAACAAAAACATAGTACTGCAAATAGCCATTAACTAAAACATAATCATAACTTTCTCATTTTATCCCTTTTCAATCACCTTCATCATTATATTTCATTAATAATATATATTTATACAACATATATGATTATTATCCTGACATTGTTTGAAAGTCTGATCTAGACTGTTCCATAGTTTTACACCACAGACAGATATACATAAACTTTTTAGAGTTGTCCTTGTTTTCAACCTACTAAAATTTAGTTCTTATTTTAGGTTGTTCAAGCTACTTATTTAAAATGAGCTGAAATAACACAATTCTTGATTTTTTGAGGGGATAACTAAATTGTTTTAAGTGGGTTAAACTTGAATGAATTGTGTGGTATCCAGCATTTTTTTACAGTGTATGGTCCTTTAAGAAGTATTAATGTATTGTGATTGGCTGATCACCTTTCAGCATGGTCTGCTGGTGTTTGGCTGTGCAGATGAGCCGGCTGATGCCTTCTATCACCTGACTCTTAGACTCTGCCTCCTTATCCTTGGTCTTCTTAGGCAGAAACATCACTGAGACAGAAAACATGTTATGATTAAACGCTCAACAAGCAACAGAGTACATTTTTTAAGTAGTTATAATAACTAAAACTAATGAATCTTTTAAAGGAATGTGCCCAACACTGTTCACAACAAACATGTATGCATAAATACATGCAGAACTTTTAAACAAATGTTGTTGTAGGGATGTAAGGAAGATAAATAATCCATATTGGTTAACATTTAATCAATTTAATTAATTATACTTTTGTTAAAACTTTTTTTAGGTGGATTGTTGGTTGTACCGATTGAATAGCTTTACATGGACAAAGGAAAATTAAGACCTGTTTAAAAGTATTTTAAAGTATAGTGAATAAAGTGTTTCGAAACATCTGGTCACGTGACTAAACCGATTTAAAGCATCAATCAGTTCAGAAGCATTTGGAGACCTGGCGAATCTGAATTTGAATGATAAGGTCAAAATCAACTTCTGTCTCATATAGCCTAGTGAACCGTACCTGTGCACGTTGTTACTGTGCTTAAAATGGCTTTTGGGTTCGAATCCTGACTTGTACAAACACTCCGAAATCATAATTTAATGTATTTTATTAATGTTACTGTTTTATGGTGTAGTCTAGACAGGAAACAGCTGCGAATACGTCATCAATTTAGCATCATTTTTGTAACACTGACTGTAAAACAATAATTTGTATTTTTACAGTACTCTGATGGTTGGGTTTAGGTTTTGGGTAGACGTTAATAAAATACAATAAATGGGAAATTTAACGATTAATATAAATAATTCTTGTTAACTTCTGGCCACAACCATGTCTGATCTAGCAACAGGCCTGTTTTATGACTAAAACAAGACATATTTATTCACAAAGTGTTTATTTGGATGTCAGACTAATGTTAAACAAAATTATACAAGCCTTTCAAACTGATATTAAGCATTATATATATATATTATAGCTATATCAGCCTGGATTCGAACCCACTATCCCTGCATGGTAGTTAGAAACCCTCACTGCTCCACTAAATCATTTGAAGGTTCAATTCTACAAATTGGGTTTAATTTCTCAATTTGCTCAACTGTTCTTTCCTGAACCTATTCCAGTGCAATACATTAAAGAAGACCACTAGGTGTCACTGTAGAGTTGGGTTTCAAAACGTTTCGAAGCTTAGACACATTTGCTTCGACTGTTTCAGTATTTCATGAGGTCTCGCTTTGCCCACCACTAATTTCAGGGATTTAAGTCTTCTTAAGATCTGAATCTTAGTTTTTTTAATACTTTTTAAGACCCTGCGGACACCCTGTTTATCAGTGGTGTCCAAACTCGGTCCTGGAGGGCCGGTGTCCTGCTGAGTTTAGCTCCGAATTGCTTTAACACATCTGCCAGGAAGTTTCTAGTATATCTAGTCAAAGATATATACACTAGATATCCCATAGGGACCCTGATCATGCGTCTATAGCGCCGCCACATTGGTACAGTGCTCCCAGGACAAATGTCATTCAACCACACTAGACAAGACAGTGTTATTACGTGAAGATGCAGGACTTTAGCGCTGTCTACAAGTGCAGTAACGAGCAAACAAAGAAAACAAAGCACAAAGGCAGAACATTTCATAGGTAAGATTAGGTTGTTTACGTTTTTGTATGTTCTGAAATTTGTGCTAAACAGTAGCGTTATTGATGATAATACAGTCACTTTCTGCATTCACCATAAGGCAAAGCAGCTCCAACTCGCACTAAATACTCGCCTTATGCTAGTTTTGTTGAATGAAATCAGCAGACAATGCAAAAGAAATATGACAACGAGATGCTGCACTGCCAGAAACTTGTATTACTGTCAGCTAGTGAACGACTCGTTCATAACGGAGAGTCATTCACAAACTAATCCCTCCCTCCGTCAGTATGAGAAGTGAAAGCAGGAGAGGAGGTGTGTTTCAGGACACGGATTAGATCAAATTTAACAGGGAGGGTGAGTAGTACATTTCCATACACACAAACACAAGCTTTTTGTCAGGAATGCCCGTGCGATCAGTGATCCATCAATGTAGAAAAGTGATGAAAAATTATAATTTTCATTAAAAAAAAAAAAATTTGCATACTAACATCCAGGAAAACTCCCAATCATAGATATATGTGTATATGTGTATATCTCTGGCTTTGGATGGCCACAGTCCTCCACTGCAGCTTGGTCCCGCATTCATTTCAAAGGAGCGCTACCCTGTTCCAAAATGGCGGCTCTATTGACGCATTCCTTCCAATAGACAACAACAGGGTAGGCTACATCTAATGTATATATCTATGATATCTAGTATGCATGCTAGCTTGATTAGCTGGTTCAGGTGTGTCTGAGCTAAATTCTTCAGGACAGTTTGGACACCCCTGCTGTATATAGTCACTGATATTGCAATAAATACCAGAAAAGTATTGTGATGTATTTTTACATTTCGTACACGTCATATCTCACCTTTCTTATTTTTCTCTTTGGTGACAACAGTCATGGACATGATTGGCTGATGCGTGGTGTCAGCTCCGCCCTGTGGGAGGCGGCTAACCTGCAGTGAGCGGAAGGTGCACCTGAGTGTGTTTTTGCCAGACGAATCTCTCTTCTCCACTTCTTTCTTCCGTTCTGACGGCGCAATCCAGTAATCGACCTGAAGACCCATCAGCTCCCCCTGTCCTCCCCCAGGAGAACTGCAGTCACAGTCACAGATTTAGTAAACAGCAGAAACCTCAAGAGATTGTGAGTGTGTGTGTGTCTATACCTGGACATGTGTACAGACGGAGACGAGGGTGGTGTTGGAGATGCTTCTTTCAATAATGGGGAGATCTGTGCAGGAGGAGTAGAGGACATAAGAGCAGATCCTACAGGAGCAGCGTCATCCGAGTCACCTACCAACACACAGATCATTCATCAACCACCTTAAATATATACTTAATATTCATATATATATATATATATATAGCAATTATAATGTTTATATTAGGTTAACAACTGTTTAAATATTAATCTAGAATTGGCTATATGTCTAAATAATTGCTTAATATGCTTTATACACAGTCTATTATGTTAATAAAGGTAAAGCATTTTCTAAAAGTAAACATTTAAAGAATCAACTTTATGTAATTCAACTTTATTGAAGAATTAACTTGATTGTTTATCCATTATTTTTAGAAAAAGCATATTAAAATGTTATTAAACAGGATATTTTACACTTTAGAGGAATATTTATTTTGTATACATCTCAGTTATGACTTTATTGAATTGCATTGGATATGTTTTGCCCCCACAATAAAATAAACAAAGCCTTTTTTTTTAAACAGAAAGCTAAGCATCATATTACTAAGACATTGAGAGAATCTCTCTCTCTCTCTCTCTCTCTCTCTCTCTCTCATATATATATATATATATATATATATATATATATATATATATATATATATGTGTGTACATACAATATACAGTATAGTACACAGTATGTTAAAAGTTATTAAAATCTACTTTTTGGTCAAATAAATATCAGCCTCTAGAAGTGCAATGGTTCAATCTGCTCACGGTTATATTTCTATTACAGTTTTAGAGTCACAGTTTCGGTACGGAATGGTATGTGCTATGTTTAGAAAAAAATGGCCACAGAAAACTTCAAATAACAATATACATATTTACAATGCAACATACTTCACACAAATGACTGTAGATTTGCACACTTTATCATTAATTAAAGGTGCAGTATGTAAGTTTGACACCTAGTGGTTAAGTATTGCATTCATGGATCAAAACAAACGCAGGTTGCCAGATAGAGGACCAAAAAGAGCTAGTTTGGCTAATGTTTACACTCATGATATTGAAATGATATACTAATTAATACCCTCATGTGGAACTCTGAATCTGTGTCTCATTTCGGAGTCTGCTACTGTCCACCAGAGGTTGCATTTCAGTCATGAGTGCATGCTTTGAGAGCCTTTCTGTAGGAATGAATGATATATGCGGTTTTCCACCAAGACAACCTAGGGTGCTGAAATATAATTGGCTAAACTGGCAGTGGGCGGGTTAAAAGAACCAAAACAAAGACAGCTTTGCAGCACGTAACACACATTTTAAAAGCAGAATAACTGCTGTAGTTCTTTATTTTATGCTTTAGAAGAGTCATAAACGTACATACAGCACCTTAAATAAAAGTAGGCCATTTTAAAAATTATGTTCAAATAAAATGGTTCAAAAATAAAAATAGTAAAAGCTTAAATATTCCCTGTTTTACATCTTGACTCAACAGTCTTAACCAATTATGCAGATAATAGTTATGTCAACACATCAAAATACTTGAACACTTTTAGAGTATTGATTACTTCTGTTTACATTACATGGCTTGCATTACCACTGCAACAGCGCATTTGCATTGACAATCATTCAAGAGTTATCGCTTATCAAAACCATCGTAGTGAATGAAACTTAAGCAAAGAGAGACCGTTCGGCTACTCTCTCTTAATTCAGCGGAAACAGTCAATCGATAAGAAAACCTTCTTAGCAGACACCAGGTAAAAAAATGAAAAAACAGCTGGAGCGATCAAAGAACACCTAGCAGGAGCGCGACTGAAGTAACAGATCTGTGCAGACCGCTGAATGTCCAGGTACGTATGGGAAGCTTCTGGCTCTGGACATGGACCTTGATCCACCTACTAGTGACCACTGATCTAGGCCATCATCAAACAAAAACTACATTTTGCGAAGTTTGAGCTTCTGAATTGTATTATCCGAGTCGTAAAAGTCTGACAATACTATAATATTCGTTCAACAAACAGTCCCATTTAATAAATAATACACTGACAGCGTAACTAACCAGATGCGACAGATGTTTGTTCAACAATCCCCACTTTCACCATCTGCAGACATGTGAAAAACAGAAAGCACTGAGTCATATACAACCTGCTAAAATACATCAAACTACAAATACTTCATCGTAAAAGGTTTACGCACCCCAATAAAAGGGATGAACTTCTGACAGGAGTCTTCATCAGGACTGTGAGAGGGGAAAAAAAGAGACATGAATATGAACACATGGTTTAATGACTAATCAATGAAGCCAATTAAAATCAAACTAGTTTGAGATTTAGGCAAACACATTCACTTCTACTGGGAACTAGATTGAATATTTTAATGAAAAAAACAATGAACATTTTTGTGTGGTGTTTTAATCATTATTCCGAGTCATAAATAATTAGAAAAAATGATCAAACTAAAACGACCAAAAAATACAGAAAAAGAAAAACTGATGACCCAAAGAATCAATCAATCTATGAATCAACCAATCAATTAAATCATCAAATAAATGCACGTCAATAGCAAGAATGACAACTACTATACTTTAAAACTTCCATGTAATTCTTTGATTTCCTCCCACCACATAAAATAATCCATTAAACACAATTGGCTATTTTGATTGCATCCAGCAACTGAGACATGCTTTAATGCAGGACATGCCAGCGTAATTACAATCCACTGTTTCTACAATGCCATTCTCTGACCTACGCCATAGCATAACGAGAAAAAAAAGGCTAACAGAAAAAAACTAAAGGAAAGAATGAAGCATTATCAGCCAATCAGGGCTCAGATTCAGGCTATGTGATCCAGAGATGGTTTAATGCAAAGATTATAAATGTAGCAACAATAAGAGCAGGCGTCCACCGAAGGGTTTTTGCAGAGCTGAAAATACCAGTACTCTTCTAAAAATGCTCAGCTGCAAGCGCTTTGGAGCAATTCCAAAACTGCGAGCACTGAGTTAGTTTTATTTAGTTTTAATTTATACATTTATATTTTTTAATGTATTTTGAATTAGTTGTTTTATTTCAGTTCATTAAAAGTTTGACCACCAGTTTAAGTCTTAGTTTTTGTTTACTAAAATAACCTTGATATTTACAATCAATAAAATATTTCTGTGATTTACATTTAGACTGAAATTAACCGATATGTTCTGTTAAACCATCTCTGATCTTCAGAAGAGCAAAAACCCAGAACCAGGAGCAACAGAAATAATAAACCACCACTAAAACAAAACAGCATGAGCCCAAATATAAGCAGTTGTCATAAGAAAAGAGAAGTTTCTTTCAGATGCTCTATTATTAATCCGCACAGCACAGAATGAGGAGATACTGATAAAACCAATAACTGAGGACTGAACCAGAATCAGCAGCAATAATTCAAGCCCCTGTTGAAAAATCAGAACCCAGAGAGAGAGAGAGAGAGAGAGAGAAAGAGTGTGTGTGTGTGTGTGTGGTGACTGTTTACTTGGATGAGGGAGATCACAGATGGAGAGAAAAATGAAAACGAAGCTAAGACAGGAAATGAAAGAAATTTTACCTCCATCATAACCTCAGTTCACCTCTGATATTTCTTTGCCTTTTAATAAAAGTGGAATCATTTAATATCATTCGCATCCTCAATTTTGCAATGATATCCCCCATGAGACCCAAAAATTCATTTGAAGAATTCATCAATTGTCCTGAGAGATTACATGCAGGCGCTATTATGTAAAAATGTCAAAGGAAACAGTTTATATATAAATATTTTAAATATAATAATTGTGAATTGCATGTGTTGACCGTGATTGTGACTTTTGATGTTGAAAATTTAACTCTACAGTTTAACAAAGTGAATTTTATTGACATTTTAGTAGTTTGAAATAAGATAATGTATAAGAAACAATTTATAGAGAAATAAGTCTGTAAAATAACAGAAAATGTATCAGCTGTTTATTTTTGTACCATTATATATATTCAGTGCTCAGAATAATTGTGTACACTTCGATTGGAAAATAAATATTTTTATTCATTACTCAGTGAATATAGGATAAGTACAGTTGAAGTCAGAATTATTAGCCGCCCTAAGATTTTTTTTTTTATATATATATATATATATATATTTCTCAAATTATGTTAAACAGAGCAAGGAAATTTTCACAGTACGTCTGATAATATTTTTTCTTCTGGAGAAAGTCTTCTTTGTTTTATTTTGGCTAGATTGGCAACATTTTTTAAACATTCTTTTAGGGTCACAATTATTAACCCCTTTAAGCTATATATTTTCCCGATAGTCGACAGAACAAACCATCATTATACAATAACTTACCTAATTATCCTAACCTGCCTAGTTAACCTAATTAACCTAGTTAAGCCTTTAAATGTCACTTTAAGCTGTATAGAAGCGTCTTGAAAAATATCTAGTCAAAAATTATTTACTGTCATCATGACAAAAATAAAATAAATCAGTTATTAGAGATGAGTTATCAAAACTATTATGTATAGAAGTGTGTTGAGAAAAATCTGCTCTCCGTTAACCAGAAATTGGAGAAAAAATAAACAGAGGGGCTATTAATTCTGTGGGGCTAAAAATTCTGACTTCAACTGTATTTTAGTGCATTTAAACAAAACAGATTTATTAAGCAGATATATTTATTAAAATAATATTTTAGTCACCAAACAAATTTAGAAATTGAAAGATAATACAATTAAACTCAAGCAAAATATTGCAAAAATAATTACAACCTACAAAAAACTAAACTACATTTTTCCAAATGTTTTCTTCTTTTTCTCTTTTTAAATTTGTATTTAATATGTTCTATATAACATCTAGAAGATATCTTAAAATATATCTTCCAGGGGAACAAATCATTACTTCCTTTGCACCAAAAAAAAATTATGTGAGAAAGAAATTCCAATTTGAATGGCTCTGGAACACTGTGTGCTTTGCTGAAGGACACCAGAGGTATTCAGAGGATGATGGCGGTAATATTCATACACCAGAGCAGCGAGAGATCCAATAAAACCTTCAGATTCTTTCCACACAACAGCTTTTATTATAACAAGACCATTCCAGATACAGCTTGAACTATACTCTGGTTTTTGCACACATGCTATTGCATCCCACAGTGCATGAGATGTGAACATCATCATTAGCAGAAAGAGTGTGTGTGTGCTGTGAGCATAGACACATTCCTGATATGCAGCTTTCACATGTATACTCAGAGTTGTTTTTGCACAAATTAGTTCCCGAAATAATTCGTTCATAATTATTCATTCATTTTCCTTCGACTTAGTCCCTTATTTTATCAGGGCTCATCACAGCAGAATGAACTGCCAACTATCCAAGCGTGTTTACGCAGTGGATGCCCCTTCCAGCCCATAAACCCATATACTCTCGCATTCACACACATATACTGCGGGCGATTTTTGTTTTACACAATTCCCCTATTGTGCATGTCTTTGGACATGTGGGGGAAACCAGAGCACCCAGAGGAAACCCACACCCAAACGAAAAGAACATGCAAACTCCACACAGAAATGCCAACTGGCCCAGTTGAGACTCGAACCAGCGACCTTTGCAGTGAGGTGAGCCTCTGAGCCACCGTGCCACCCTTCTTTCATTTTATTAAATATTACTTGTAATATTTATACAGAAATAATTCTCAATAAAACATGCGTCAATTTAGTAGTTTAGTACCTTCTCGTTGTGTCATATCATTGTTATTACATTTAACAAAATTTTCTGATTTTTTAAAAATAATTATGATCATTTTTTATGTTTGGATTGTTTGGGTTTTCACTAAAATCTGGGTCGATTTCCTGTCAACAGCTCCTTTTAAAATATATTTACTAGGAAAAATCCTGAAGTGTTAAATACTTTGTTTTACTTGCTGTGCTGTAAGGTGTTTTTTTTAAATAAAGTCATTCTTTAAATGGATAATTCACAAGAAAAATTTGTTGTTTTTGGGTTATTATGAATTTTCTTCTTGTGTCGAATTCAAAACAGGATTTTCTGAAGAATGTTGGAAAGAACCAGCAAAATATATAAAAAGAAAGGAAGGATCAAAAATAAAAAATAATAATAACTCAAACAGGTTTGTAACAAGTGAAGGGAAGGATAAGGAAATAATGACAGAATTTTACATTTGTGTGAACAATCCCTTTAATGTCAGAATCAACCATTATTTTGTGGCTCTTTTTTAGGTACTGGCACCATTTTTAAAATACTGATGATGAAAAGAGGGCATGGTAAAAAACTATACACTGCAAAGTGTACGCACATCATCAAAAAAAAAAAAACTGTTTTAGAAAACACTGGGCTCTATTTTAACGATCTAGTTGCAAAGTCTGAAGCACATGGCGCTAACGCATTAAAGGCATTTCTGAATCCATTTCTGCTATTTTAAGGACGGAAAAATACAGTTTAACCCTTATTCTTGCTTATTCTCTTAATGAGTTATAGGTGTGTTTGGAGCACAACATGCATTAAACCAATCAGATTCTCATCTCCCATTCCCTTTAAGAGTCAGTTGTGTCGCACCATGGTGCATTTGCAATTTACATGGCGGACTTTTTAAGAGGAAAAACAGAATGCTTCACTAGCGAAAAAACAGTTAAATAGACCATCTGCAGCACGAGGATAAAGAATAAGCCTCCTCCATTCGACCTCTTTACTTTCATTTTACTCTTTACTCCTTTACTCCTTAACTTTTGTGGATAAGGAAACAGTGTTGTACTAACTCCACTGAAGACATCCATTAGCCTACATATTTAATTTAGTTTGTTAAGCACAAAGATTTGTTTCAAAACTATTTCTAAATTCAGTTCTATTTTCCAGCAAATGAATAAATAAACAACATTAACAAAGTTATATCCAAACACACGTTCTATTCTTTTGCTGGTGATGCATACATCTCCAAAACCCGACAAGGAGACAAATCTAAACTTGTTTTTATTAAAACAAATATAAATATGCATATAATAAATAATACTGCTAATAATAACATTATACAAATGCAAATTGTCATGAGTAAACTAAAAAAGCCCCCCGACATGAAGAAGGCATGCAGGTATAGGTTTTTATATTTATGTAGATAATAATCATTTTCGTAACATTTTAATTCTTTAATTTTTTTATATGCAAATATATTTGTGTATTGATGTACACACTGTGTGTATTAAGCGTTTGAACCTGTATAGACATATAACTAATGTGCTCTGCGCTTGACGTAACACCAGCTTTTACTTGGTCAATGGTATACTAGCATATTCTGGTATATTTCAGTTTCTCAGAATAGCAACGCACCAACAATGCGCCCTAACACACCTCCTTAAAAATTAGCGCTTTTTACCTTGAGTACATTTTTAGTGCTGTACCGGTACTTTTACTCCACAACTTTCCTTCAACTTGCAGTCAATATTTTATTTTTTCTCGTCTATATGGATTGGTCCTGTAATTCTTGTCCAATCAAATCGCACAGGGAAAGTAAATCACATCATACTGAACAGCTCCAAGACATGGCCACTTTATAAATGCAGCAAACCATTTAGAAGCATTTAAAGTGCCCGAGAAACATCCAAAATCTTTACATGCAAAGATCTAGAGACTGTTTAGACTGCATGAGAAGATGTAGGATGTTTACTGTAGGAAGACTTAATGCCACAATTACTGACACTCCTATAAATTCAAATGAGCAGTCTTTTTTTAGAGTTATAGGTTGCTTAAACAATAATTAAATGCACTAGTACAGAATGTTACGTTTACACATCCCTGCACCAATTGCATGTAAACGCATCGGCGCAATACTCACTACTCACAACTTTTGCACTACATTTTTGGCCAAGTAATGATACTTTTACTTGAGTATGATTTATCAGTACTCATTCCACCACTGACTAAATACAACGAATGGCAATTCTCAAAATGGCAGCTACAGGAAAGAAACCCCACTAATTCACCATGACTCAAAGTGTGGACAGAATCTGAAGTTTCATCCGCATCTCTGTGCTCTCTCACAGATAAACCAGCCCTTCAGAAAAAAGAGAGAAGCAGAAGGTAAACGAGACTGAAGATGATATGGATTCGGCTACGGCATCAGCACAGACAGGAGGACCACAATACCTTACTGCAAAATCAAAATGAAAGCTCTTTTTCCTTTAGAGAAGGCAAGAAAAAAGAAAAACATAAAGAGAAATAAAAGCATGTTATTTACAGACACGCTGACAGAGATGATGAACAATGACATTCACATGCTTTCTGTCCAAACATGACTCAAAATGAGATGCAAATATCTGGAAAACGAGCAGCAAAATGGATTAAGAGTTTGTTTTTGAGTGGAAATCCAGATATCTGCATCTTCACAGCACCGAAAAAATGAGCTCGGCCTCTAATAACACATATTCAAAGCTTTTTTTTTTTTTTAAAATATCAATGGATTATTGATACTCTTTTTGTTGTATTTAGATAATAAATACAACTGCAGACACTCGGGATGTTTTATTATGAAGTTAAAAATCCCACTGATATCTGATATTCAGTACGTTCAGCACAGCACTCTTGTTGCCTCCTCTGAAAGGTGTATGAATGATTGTTTTGAATGTTGTGCATGTGGATGGTGTTGGTTTTTCACCTCTTCTGCTTATAGGTGAGCATGGCCTCCGCTATGGGTAGCTGATGGGCTCCGTTTGCCCCCAGCATATACTGCGTGATCCTGGACACCACATCTGGACTGTCCTGAACTGCTGGAGGATTGTGACAGGAGGAAAGCAAAATATATTATAAGAAAACTGAGTACACTTAAAAAATAAAAGCGGCCAAGAGAGTGATTCTGATGGAGTGGAAATCCATGACACCTCCAGGTTTTTTTAAATGGTTTGCTGAAATGTTTTTTGCCCTCAGGCTAGAAAGGTTACAATTCTCTAGATTTGGCAAACCGAAGATGTATGATAGAATATAGGGCCCTTTCCATAGTTTCCATAGTGTGTTGGTGCATGCCATGTTCTAGTTGGTACCACCAGGTTATAACACTGAGATCATTTTTATAACATACACTACCGGGCAAAAGTTTGGGGTCAGCAGGATTTTTAAATGTTTTAAAATAAGCTTCTCCTGCTCACCAAGGCACAAGTACAAATACTGTGAAAAAAAACTGTAAAACTGTGAAGAGTTATTGACTATAAACTAACTGTTCAAAAGTAGTTTATCATTTAATTTAATCATTTACTCCAGTGATTTTAAAGATGAATTTTTAGATTCATTATTCCAGTCTTCAGTCACATGACCCTTCATTAATTATTTTTTTCATTATTAATGTTAATAGTAATAAAAAGCTATAATTGACTAGAGTAATAATTTCATTTGAAACTACTAAAAATAAGAAAGCGGTTATTCAAAATTGTCATAAATGTTTTCATAAATACCGCCTTGATGAACAGAATAATTTTCTGGTAAGTAAACTTTTGGCTGGTAGTGTATATACATGATATACACTATTGCGTGTTATGTTTTCATAAAAGGTTCTATAAATAAAATGTACAAAACAATAAATACAAGCATTAATGATGTCATATATGATACAAATAAATAATAAGCAACATATATTCCCTCCATTGACAGATAGATGCAACTAAATCGTTATTTATATTTAATTTATAAATTATAAAATTAATTTAATATTTTCTAACATTTCTGTTTGATTTAATTCTACATTTTTTGTTGTATTATAATTAAAATTAACAAATGTAAAATATCTACAAACTGTGTTTAAACAAAAACAAAATACAGACAGACAGAAATGTTCTTTATACTTTACACGATTGTTTATATTAATGTGGGTTTATTGTAAACATTTATTAAAATTATTTAAATGTGTTTATTTAGCCTTTTATTTAATAAAATGCAATAGAAAATGTACAACATCTTGATCCTCTAATAGTTAAGATTATTAATCTAAAATAAATAACACTTAATATCATTAAAATATAAATTAAATCTATCCATGCATCCATAAACGTATGGATATAAAAATGTATTGTTATTATTTATATTTAAAGGTTACATTACTGGTTTAAGGAAAACATTTAATTTATTTTAACAAATTTAAAACATAATTTACTAATTAATTTCTAAACATATATATATATATATATATATATATATATATATATATATATATATATATATATATATATATATATATATATATATATATATATATATATATTCAGACTGACAGAATATAGAATAAAATTATTTACAGTAGAATAAATGATATATAATAATTGTCAATAGGACATTATCCCAGAAACGTACACTTTCACCAATAAAAAAAGTTGACAGGGCCTGACCTTTAAGCTTGTTGCCCTTAAAAACCATAACAAAACAAGCATAAATCACATAATTCGACGATACAGCACATCCATCATCAGTCAGCTTCTTCTGGTGTAATGCACGGATTTTATGTTAAATTTATTGCAAATGTGACGGGACTGACAGAAACAAGGAGACAATTGTAAATTTATTTGTATTACTGTATATACTTGTAGTATTTATTTGTAAAATTTATTTATAATTTTATGTTTTTAACCAATTGATGTGAATGATAACAACTTAAACTTGCTATTTCTGAAAGTTTTATAACAAAATAATGAAACTATTAAAGCTATTAAACTATTAAAGCTGTAGGTTCAGTTGGGCTGAGGTAAAAGACAGGGTTTGTACATTAACATGTTTTTAATAATAAAAAAAATCTGAGAACCAAATGCATGACATATTCCTTTACTGAACAACTCACAAAAATCAACCATCAGGCCATTTTTAAATTGTTTGGGATGAAGATTTATTTTTCAATGTATTTTTTGTAAATATTTATTTTAAACAATTATAAATTATTTAGTCAATTATTTAATAAAAAACACAATGTGAAATCTGTTTCATTAAATTTTGCATACTGAAAAAAATGATTATTAATTATAAAAATAAAGCATAACAGCAAAAATTACACTTATGAAATATACATATATATATATATATATATATATATATATATATATATATATATATATATATATATATATATATATATATATATATATATATGATCAATTATCTCGGTTACCTGAGGTTGGTGCCTCTGGTTTGTGGAAAAGATCTCTCCACGCAGAGTCTAGGAACAGACTGTTATATCTGTAGTCTATACTGGCCAGATATTTAGCCACTGGATGAACCCCTACACACAGACACACACACACACACACACACAAAGGTTTTTGTGCTTCTGTTAGTGTTTTATTGGCCACTGGTTGTTCATTTTTTCTCTTGACTCCAGGTCTTACCGAGAGGGATGATAAGGAAGCGCAGATATCCGAGCCAGTCGGGTGTTTTGTGTGTCAAATGATCCACAAACAAACGCAAGACCACAGAGAGGAAATGCTGAGCTCCTGCCACTCCGACACGCACAGGAGAAGGAGTCACTGAGTTACTGTTACAACTGCAGAAGAAGAGGACACAATATTACACACTGTGTGTTACTATAAAAGAAATACTGAGAAAGAATAGCAGAAACATGAAAGAAGTACCCGTGTTTGTATGTGTGTGTGCTTGTCTTTCTGCTTCAAAATGATTAGAACAAAACATTACACAGTTGCACTACATTACAATTACATTAGTGCATCATTACCCCAGAAAAACTGTGAAAAAAAGGGAGAAGTGAGTGTGTGTGCAAGTGTGAGTGAGAATGTGAAAGTGTGAGAGAGTGTGTTTGCGTTCGTAATCATGTATGTGTGTGTGTCTGTCTGTATGTGTGTGAATTTGTATTTACAGAATGTATGTATGTATGTATGTGCGTGTGTATGAGCTTGTATGTATGTATGTATGTATGTATGTATGTATGTATATGTGGATGAGAATGTATTTATGCATGTATGCATGTATGCATGTGCATGTGTCTGCTTCAGTGTCTCACAATCTCTGAATGCGAGAGATGATGGTGCTGAAGGCAGCTTGGATGTCAGCCGTGGTGCAGGTACACACTACTGGAAGACCGTGATTCTGTAACACCTCAGACACATACTGACAGAAGAACACCGGACACATATAAAGTCTTATGATCAAAAAAAGCCTTTATCCACATTACAAAATAATGAACTATATTTTAAAATATGAAAAAAATAAATAATCATAATTTAACACAGAAGACTTGCTGTGCAAAAATATTCGCATTTAATCACATCCAAAATAAAAGATAAAAGTTTGCTTTTACATAATATATTACAAATTCATACATAAAAACTAAACTATACAAAACTAAATTTACAAATAGTCAAATGTACATTTCATTTCTATCATTCATAGATATATTTTATTTCTAAACATAAACAAAGATTTCTTATATATATGCATGCATTTGTGTATTTATACTTAGATGCACATATATTATGCAATTACAAACTTTTATTTCGGATTTGATTAATCACGGTAAATCTTTACCCAGCACTAATAAAAACATGCCTAAAACATTCCTTAAATTATGATTGACACAATATAATGACATCTGTCAATCATACCTGGCCCTGCCAGTCAGAGGTATTGATGAGGATGATGCTGTCAGGCAGATGACTGTCTGACACCAGGATGTGGTTCAGCTGGTCATAAACGGTTTTGCGTGGAATCTGATGCGGACAAAGACTTACATTAGTACAGTGAAGTAGTTTAGTTCAAATGTACACCATATACAATTAAAGTCAGAATTATTAGCTGCCCCTTGAATTTTTTTTTTGTTTTTTAAATATTTCCCCAAATTATGTTTAACAGAGCAAGGAAATTTTCACAGTGTGTCTGATAATATTTTATCTTCTGAAGAAAGTCTTCTTTGTTTTATTTCAGCTAGAATAAAAGCAGTTTTTAATTTTTAAAAACCATTTTAAGGTCAAAATTATTAGCCCCTTTAAGCTATATTTTTTTCAATAGTCTACAGAACAAACCATTATTTTACAATAACTTGCCTAATTACCCTAACCTGCCTAGTTAACCTAATTAACCTAGTTAAGCCTTCAAATGTCACTTTAAGCTGTATAGAAGTGTCTTGAAAATATCTTGTAAGATATTATTTACTGTCATCATGGCAAAGATAAAATAAATCAGACATTAGAAATGAGTTATTAAACTATTATGTTTAGAAATGTGTTGGAAAAAAAAAAGAAAAAAAATCTTCTCTCCGTTAAACAGAAATTGAGGAAAAAAATAAACAGAGGGGCTTATAATTCTGACCTCAACTGTATAACCAAATAAACACTATTGCCACTGCCTAGAATGTATCAGGGGTGTGTGTTGATCTTCTGTCTGACCTGTAGATGGCAGCGAGTGTCCAATGAGCGCTCGTTGTCCAGACTGTTGGCCCTCTCGTTGGGTGGTCGACTGGGCTGCCGCTCTTTAAGTGATGTGCTCCGCCCCCGTCGCCCCGCCAACTTCGGCTCCACCCTGAGATAGTCATGAGATGCGTTTCACTCAATAGGGCCCCTACGCAGTGTTCACTACCTTATATTCCCAATATCAGTTGAATTGGGCTTCATACACAATCCCTCATTCCAAACCCACAGCAATACGAACACACAGAGGGGAAACTCCGATCAGCAAATAATTTTTTTAAATTTTTATAATGTAAATTCACCTTTATATAAAACATTTAGAAATCGTTTAATAAAAAAGGTGGCGTATAATAAAATAACCATACTGTGGTAAAGGAAATCTTGTCTTTTATCTTATTCAACAGAAAACCTTAAAATGATCACATCTGATACTAAAATCTGATGGAAATATTATGCAAATTACATTTATGTATTGCCTGGGTGTGGCTAGAGAAACTGAACTCACAATAGTTGAGTTATCACACAAGTTATGTTTTAACGGGAAGGGGCACTTTTTCACACAATGTTTTCCCTTTAATTACAAAAACCTTTATTTCAAAACTGAAATGTTGATGTGTTATATTTGTCTAATATTTTAAATAGTTTGACGATCTGAAACATTAAAGTGGGACAAATATGCTTAAAAATAAGAAATCAGTTAGGGGGAAGACACTTTTTCACACCACTGTATTTTACATATTTGACATACATTCTATATACATGAAATTAAAATACATCTTGTATGTCATTTGTATATATTGCCAAACATCAGATTCCTATATAGGTCGGCCCAATTATTTAATTCAAAGTTCCTTGGTGCACAATGACTGCTTCCTGTGACGTAATGAATGGATGCTCCATTACTCCCTATAACTTAAGATGGCAGAATACAGTGTGAAGTCCACTTCCAAGCCCACTAACGATCAAATGGAACGCACCATTTAAACTTTTTACAATAAAAACACTCAACAAAATAAGAATAAAAATGAATGCCACTTTGTTATTGCAATACAGGAAGTCAGTAAGTTAATTTATTCTCTACGATACTGTACCCTCATACATTAAACACAGTGATCAGGGTTTTTCTGTCTGCTCACCGGTTGGATGGAATGATGAGTGATTCAGTTTTGGTCATTCGGCCAATGGGAGGGAGTCTCTCCATGAAAAAGTCCATACTGTCCATCATCTCAAGTTCTGTGGTAGGAGTCACAACCTCAGGATGACCCTAAACCCCAGAGACACACATAATGTTTATCACAACAAATACTTAAGAATCAAACCTTGAACATACACTTATATAGTATCTATTTAGTATTAATTACCATTTGTTTTATAATAATAATAACAATAATAATAAATACATTTTTAATAGAATATATATTATTTATCATTATTTATTT